ATACGCGAGGGTCAGGTTTCTGCATAATCGATTTGGAGGGAAATGGAACACTGCTCGGGGCTGACTATCTTGTTAAAACAACAGGAGAGTCTCAGAACATCGTCTAAACATAAATTCACTAAATCTTTTTTACAGGGAAGTACGGAGAGTAGAAAACAAGTCACAGATGCCATTGTCTGGAGACACAGGTAAACAACCATCTGTATAACCTCAGGGTTATAACCTTCATGGTAGAAAGGAAAGGTAATAAGGCCCCCTTCCCAAATAGCTTCTTATTAGCAGGGGATCCAAAGAATGGATGAAGTAGCTCTTTGTTTCAGTTTTCATATATTTATTTTAAACTGTATAGAAGCCACAAATGAGATAAGGATCCTGGAGTGCCTCCTTTTGGAGTATCTCTTTTATACTTAAAAAATTTCATCTCAGTTCTATTGGGTTGTTGAGAAAGTCATGATGCATTTTTGCATAGAAAATCAAAAAATATGTCATGACTTTCCCAACAACCTAATATGATGGGTAGGGGGATTTTGTTTAAATCTATACTATCATTTTTGGTTCCATCTCGGATAGATAAAGAACTTGAAAGTCAGTATTTTTGTTCTCACAATAAGTCAAATATGGACAAACCTAAAATCAACAACTTTTCTTGGATGCAACCAAAGCTGCAAGGCAAATGATCACCCCCAAATGTGCAGAGACAGAGTCTTCCAGAGTCACAGCTGAGATTTACTCATCTAGAGCAGAAGCTGCTATTGCCATAAACTGGAATATTTAAATGGAAAGTTTGATGAATTGTTAGAGGCTGAGTGTCCACTAGTGTAAAGAATAAGAATTTCCTGGGAGCTGCATCATAAGGAAGGCCTTATACCTTAATGCTGTTCAATTTATTTATTTAGAGAGATTTTTGCTATAAGGTGCATGTGCTCACCAGAGAAACAGAGAGAGTGAGAGATAGAAAGTAAGAAATCATCCCCTGGGGGGATGGCCACACCACAGTCCCTTCTCTTCCAGTCTCCTCCTGAGGTCTTGAGCATGTACGCACATGAGCCTGATGTGAGTTTTAAGCCCCTGGATCTGGAACTTGAACCACAGTTGACTTACATGGGAGTCTAGTGATGTAACCATCATATCATCTGCTGTTCCCTAGTTTATTATTTTTTTAAGAGGTTTTTGCCTTAAGATGTATACATACATGAGAGAGAGAGAGAGCGTTAAGATATATACATACATGAGAGAGAGAGAGAGAGAGAGAGAATATCGGGGGGAAGCCAGCACCTTAACTACTATACACCACCTGCTGGCTCTCCAAGCAAATATTAATCAACATAGACTACCAAAAGAAAGCTTACGTGGCTAAATTAATTTCAGAGAAGGTAGACTTGAAAATAGGAATGAGGCTGACCCCATAGTACAGTGGTAATGGAACCTGGAGCCTGGTGGCCAACCAGGGTAGAGTCCCAATGCTGGTGGCTTACTATACTGGACATATGTATGGGTACCCAGGACCCTGAGAGGGTGAGGAATTGGAAGTAAAAGAATAGGGCATGACCAGACCCTGTTGGGAAGTTATCTGCTTAATCTCTCTGTCTCTCTCTCTTTCTCTCTCTTGCATACATGTGCCCTCTGGCATAATAAAAGAAAACAAGAATGATAATCAGGGATAAAGATGGACATTACATAATTATAAAAGGGACAGTTCTAGGCACCAGCAGATGATGTACTGGTCACGTTGCTGGACTCCCACCATCAATTGCGGTTCGAGTCCTGGACTCAGTGGCTTGAAACTCATGCCGGGGTGACTTCTCACTTTCTCTCTGTCTCTCTGTCAAGCTCAAACATCCCATAGAAAAAATTTCTAAAAAAAAAAAAAAAAAAAGAAAAAGAAAGGGAAAAAGGGACAATTCTCCAAAAAGACATGGAATCTGAAATGTATATGCACCTACAAAGTGAGCATCAAAACCCATGAAGCCAAAACTGAAAAGAATTATAAGAAGAAACAAACTAATTCACCACAGCTTTTGCAGACTTCAACATCCCTCTGTCGGTAAGTGATAAACCAAGCAGGCAGGAAATCATAAGGATGTAATTGATCTCAACAGCATCATCCATCGACTTTGCTAATTGATATTTATAGAATAAATCATCCAACAATAGCAGAATGCACACTTGCTTCAAGCTCATATCGTGTATTCTTCAAGATAACCATATTGTAGAGTACAAGGCACATCTTACCAAATTTTTTAAGAACATAGAATTTATACAAAGTATATTTCAGACCACAAGAGAATTGAACCAGAAATCAATAACGGAAAGATACCAGAACAATTCTCAAATATCTAAAAGTTGGACAATGCACTTCTAAATAAATCATGGGTCAAATAAGTGGTTTCAAGAGAAGTTTTAAAAATCTTGTGAACTAAGTAAAAATGAAAATATAACTTATGAAAACATTTGGGATACAGAGAAAGAAATTCTTACAGGGAAATTTATGGCATTAAATTGTATATATTACAAAAGAAGAATCTAAAATGTATAATCTAAAGTTTTACTATCAAAGAATAGGAAAGTAGCGCCATTTAAACCTAAAGCAGATGTGGGGCCTATAGGTGGGGTAGATGTTAAGGTGTTGGACTCCCACATGGCCAACTGTGTTTCAAGTCCTGGACTTGGTAGCTTGAAAATCATGCTGAGTGCATGTGCATGCATGCCCAAAAACTTCCAAAGAAGAGAATACAGGAGAAGGGACTGTGGTATGGCCATCCTCCTAGGGGTGAGGAGAATTTCTTACTTTCTGCCTCTCTGTTTCTCTCTTTCTCTAGCATATACATGTGCCCTATGACAAATTCTTAAAAAAAGAAAAGAAAACCTAAAATAGACAGAAGAAAATAAACAATAACAATTAGAGTAAAAATCACTGAAAGTGAAAACAAAATAATACAGAAAATCAATTAAATCAAAATCTGGTTCTTGAAAATAATAAATAAAATTGATAAACATTTTTTAAAAAGACATGAATTACAACATCAGAGATTAAAGAAATTTAATCACTATTAATCCTCTGGATAGTTAAAGGATAATAAAAGAATAATATGAACAGATAATTCTGCCTACAAATTTGACAACTTACATTAAACAGATCAATTGGTTGAAAGACACAAACTTCCAAAATATGTGTGGTTAAACAGATAAACAACACTGTCCCACATCAATTAAATGACTTGAATCAACAGTTCATAGCCTTCTTAAAAAAGAAAACTAGACCTAGATGGGTTCACTGGTGAATTCTACCAAACATTTAAGTTAGGAATTATACTCATTTTCCATTCTCTCTTATGGAAAACAGAAATAGAAACTTATGAAATATTTTGAGTGTGGTATTACCCCCTTTTAAAATCACAAGAAAAAAAAACTATAGATGAATATTTTCTATAACCAAAAATACAAAACTTCCCAACAAAATATTATCAAATCCACAACAACAACGTGCAAAAATGATACATCGTGATCAAGGTGAATTTATTCCAAGCATGCTAAGCTGGTTCAACACTCAAAAATCAATTAATGTGGGGCAGCGGGTGACATGTTGGTAAAGGCACTAGAATTTCCACATGGTCGACCACAGTTTGAGTGCTGGACCTGGCAGCTTTCTCTCTCTCTCTCTCTCTTTCTCTCTCTGACAAAACCCATGTGAAAAAATAATAATAAATAAAAATAATTCTTTTAAAAAATCCACTGATGTAACCCACCACAATAGGGTAAAGATGAAAGATCATATCATCATATTCACTGATAAGCAGTTGACAAAAAACAAACATTAAATCATCATTTAAAAGACCAAGAAACTCTCAGACCAGCAGGCAGTGCAGAGGTTAAGGCAGCTGCATCCCACACACATGTCCGACTGAGTGGTTTGAGTCCCGGACCCAGCAAGTTGAAAACATGCTGGGGGTGTGTGCACAGGTGCCCAAAATCCTGAAAGGAGAGTAGAAGAGAAGGGGTTGCAGTATGGCCATCCTCCCCTGCGGAGTACTTTCTCATTTTTCTTTTATCTCTCTCTCTTCATTTCTCTCCCACAAGTGTACTCACCCTACTACAAAACTAAAAAGACAAAAACAAAGCAAAACAAAATAATTCTCAGCAAACTGGGAATAAAGAGGAACTTTCTCAACTTAATCAGGAATATGGACAAAAGAGCTGTTGTTAACATCATACTTAATGGTGAAAGACCAGTTTTTTTTTTCCCTACAATCTAGAACAAGATAAGGATGTGTTTTCACCATTCTCGTGCAACATCACACTGGAAGTCCTAGCTTTCTAGTTCAGTGAGACACAAATAAGAAACAAAATGTACACAGATTGGAAAGGAAGAAATAAAATTATAAAATTATCTTTATTTGCAGATGATATGATCATTAAAACATCTGAAAGAATCAGCAAAAAACTAATGGAATAAACAAGTATATGGAAAGGTTTCCAAATTAAAAAAAAAAATCAAGGTAAAAGTCAACTTTATATCTACCAATGAAAACTGGAATTAAGAAACTATCAGTTATAGGGAACCAGCAGTTAGCGTAATGGCTATGTCGCTGGACTCCCACATAGTCGACCGTGGTTCGTGTCCTGGACCCGGTGGCTTAAAACACACTGGGCGTGTGTGCATGCGTGCCCAAGATCCCAAGAGGAGAATGGAGAAGGGATTGCAGTGTGACCAGGCCACCCTGGGGGGTGATTTCTCGCTTTCTGTCTCTATGTCTCTCTGTCTGTCTGGCGAGCACATGTGCCCTATAGTGAAAACCTCTCCAAAAAAAAAAAAAAGAAACTATCACTTATAGTCATACAAAAACATATAAATTTAATAACATATTTACTGCATATGTATGTAACCAGTATAAAATTCTAATAAGGGAAATTTAGGATGATATAAACAAAAAGATACTTCAGGCCCTGATGGTGGCACAGCAATAGCACCACTGGACTTACATGGGAAGATCTCAGTTCCACATCCTGGGTCCTCCCTATATATGCCGGGAATATGTGCACTTGCCCACCATCTGGGCTGGCTAAGGTTGGGAGAAAATTATGGTGTGAAGTCCCTTTGGGGGGGGAGGTGCCTCTCTCTATATATATTTCTTTTTCTTTTATCTCTCTCTTTCTTTTCCTTCTCTCTCTCTCAGAAATAAAAATAAAT